AAACCTGCAGACTTTTTTTTTATTAAATTCTCCCATTTCATCTGTACAGAAAAAAATGCACATTATGTTCAGAATCTCAGTAACATCTCAAAATTACACAGCATGAACATGTAAAAACAAGGAACGGCCAGAATTTTATACACAGAAAACAATTTACAAAAGAGTCTTATATTTTTCTTTTTTTCCTTTTTTCTTCGTTCCTTTTCTTTTTTTTAAAAAAGGCCTAAGATCACACACAGCATCTGCTGTCCAGTTTGTTTCAATGCTTGATTGATTTGAGACACTGCCCTTGGAGAAGGCTGACAACATGGTAATGGTGCTGACCACCTTCAGGTCTGGACCTCCCACTTTATCCTGCCCTGTCCACTTGCTATTCCACTCAGTGCATCCCATCTGACATGGAGGCTCATTCAGAGATCCTGGCACATCTGAATGGGCAAATACCATCCTAACTCCACTGCAGCTGCCAAATTTCTCTACTACCAAGACTCTTATGACCCCAACACTTTGCGGGGAGGGTCTCTCTTTGGTAGTCTGTTTATGGGATGAGGAAGAGAATGGGGTGACAGATCACTACAGAATCCAGTAACTTTTAGCTCTGGTCAGTCCCATTCCCCTACGTGCCCCATGCTCCAGCCGAGATTGCGTCCAGAGCTCGAGTGACATGGGGCAAGACACAGGAACCTGGAAATCCCAGTCTGGGTTTATGGTCACCCAAGCCAACCTGTGAGAGAACAGCAGTGGTAGAAAGAGGTGGAGTGAGGAGGAGCAAGAATAAATGTGACTGGAAAGTGAGCCAACTCTATACAGACCAAAAACAAGGAAGGAAGGATTGGTGTCAGATACAGTGATGTCACGTGGAAAGTGGGGAAGGGAGGGCACCCTGGAAACACCACTGAAATTTTTAACAAACAGAATGCCACATTTTATAAAACTAGATATGATTCCAAGAGGGACATACCAGCATGGCATTTTGAGTTCTGTGTTCTTATACACTCAGAATTTGGAAAAAAAAAAAGTAAACGTATTCACAGTTCAAAAAGCCATATTCTTTCCTTTCTATAAATTGACCACGGGAATTATAGACCCTCTCACCAGCTGGATGAGGGGCTGATGGAACATTTCTTTATTAAGGCTGGAGACAGCTAACTGGCCAATCTCCTGTGTTCCTTGACTCAGAGGTCAACGACTAAGGTTTGCCAAATGAGAGAATTCTGCCTTGTCGAGAGGGTGGCAGCAGGTTTTGTTAGGAGTTGGTACATAGGGGATGGATGGGTTGATTCTGGTTTACGCAGAAGATGTTCCTCATTTCTTGAAACAAAATTCATTCCACTCTCTTCCCACCCCTATCCTGTTCCCTCTTGGACTCTGGATTAAATGGAACCTGGATCTCTGTTCCAAAACTGCAGTGGAGACTTTTTGAAGACGGGGTTGGGTGGTAGCTGGAGAAATCCAGGGTGCAAAATATTTCAAAGGCCACACTGATGCAAAGGAAAGACCTGGTTCTGACCCAAATGACAATACAGTGTCTAATAAGAAACTGGATGGGCAACTCTCAAACTAAGGGACTAATACTCAGTCACTTTCTAACTTTAAAAGGAAGTTGTAGATTCTTGTCGACACTTTTGTAAGGTGATATCAGGCCGATGACATAGCCCAGATGTGCTCCCCCCTAGGAGGAAATGAAACCTGACTTTTACTTTCCTGCCAGATGAAAAGAAAACTTAAACATCCATCAACCTTTAGTAACTTCCCAACTCTCCTGGAGGATTAAGTGATATGTTAAAGACTCTGGAAGTAAACTCAATTCAGAAGTGTTAATAAGTAACTTGAAGTAAATGCTGCCCTGCAGCTGATGGCAATTCCCTGGAGTTATTCTGGTTTCCTAAGAGTTTTCTGATTTAGAATTGGGGGCCTCCAGGTCTGCTGAAAGGGTCAGGTAACTCTGAAAGTGGAGGTGACAGCCAGAAAGCATCTTTGGGGTACAGCAGACAGCCATTCCTTCTTTACAGAGGGCCCTGAAACCCTCAGATCTTCCAAAGCCTCAACTTTTGAAGACATATTTCCCATAGCCAGATTTTTTTCCCCTACTAGAGGCTTCTATCCTGAAAATATCTGACTCTAATCCATACAGTCCCCAGTTTTACCAAAAATCATAACATGGTACTTCTTTCCAAGCCTCTTCTTTGGGTAACAGCAATTTCAGAGGGTAGGGCACTCTAGAACCTGCTTTCCCTCATAACTCTTATTAAAGGCCCCCATATCTGTAACCAGACTCTTACTACTGATCCGGTACAGATCCAGCTTGGTTCTGTTCCAGCCAAATTACCTATGTTTCTGGTCTTTTGAGTAATGAATGGCATGTCCAACATGGGAGATGGATATCCAACTCTTTGGGGAGAGCTTATAGCAAGGATCCTTGGAAGACGTTGGAATGAGATGCCGGCTAACTTGCTATTGAATTATTTCTCATTAAGGGCCTGGACCGCTTTCTTTTGGATGGCTGGATGGACTCATTTAATAAGCCCGGGAGCCCTCATCAGTCACTTGGTTGGGGACTGCACACTATCACTGATGGCAAGAAACTTTGCCCTCTAAGTTGACTGGCGCTGGACAACAGGTAAATAAACCTGACAAACAGGAAGTACGCTTCTTACAAAGGTGCTTAGAGATCTTACCTCTGGCTTTTGTAATCACAGCACACTCTTATCAAGTGGCCGAGTTGGTAACGGACACCTGGGCTTGGAAAACGGAACAGCACTTGCTTAGGACATTATAACCAGAACTTATTGCTGAGGCCTCAATCTGTGACTAATATTGCCCCTCTCAAAATACCTTCTGATAAGAGAGCAAGGGTCATTAAAACTGTTTCCCATAAACAATGAGAAGTGTGGTTTTGCTTCCTAGTTTAATAATTTCAAAAGGTTAAAAGTTTCAAGAGTCAAATTTCCTTTCTAATTTCTAACTCTACTAATATCCAGAGAATTAGCAAAGCTCACTATTTTTATGGGTAAAAAAAATTGCTTAAGATATCTAGGGTATCCAAAAAGTCCTGTTGTTAAGCCATTTTTCTGTTGTATCTGACACTTTCATTGACTCCATCTGAAGTTTTCCTAGCAAAGATACTGGAGTGGTTTGCCATTTCCTTCTCCAGCTCATTTTACAGATAAGGAAACCGAGGCAAACAGGGTTAAGTGACTTGCCCAGGGTCACACTCCTAGTAAGTGTACCAGGCTGGATTTTAACTCAAGTCTTCCCAAGTCCAGGCCTGGTGCTCTAAATACTGCAGCACCACCTAGTGGCCCAAAAGTCATAGGCTCTTGAAGCTTAAACTGCAGGAAGACTTTTGGAATACCACACCACTCACAGGGCTGTCAGAATTCCCTTACAGTCTCATACAGGGGGACAAATCTAAGAAGCTGAGAATTCATTCCCTAGATGGTAGAAGCTGATCTTGCCCTGAAGACCAATGTCCGACGTCATTAAACATGGTGCCTGGGGATCTAGTCGGATGATTTCTGGGCACTGGTCTCGACTTTCCCCTCTTCTTCCTCTGCTGTACTCGGATGGCAGCCCTAAGAGGGTCTCTCCTTATGGGAGTGGGGAGAAGGTGAATGTGCTTAATCCACTCTTCTAAAAAAAATGTTTTATACTTTTTCTTTCAAGCACGCGTGCGTATGTACGCAGACACGCAGACAAAACCACCAATCAACTGATCTCCAATGAGACCTCTCCCTTCCCTCCACCGTTGTAACTCTCTCCTATAACAAAAAACCCAATTCACTCATGGCTGAAATGGGGGTCTGAGGGAGAAGAGAACTGATGTACCTTTGACCTTCAAGTTTTGCGAATCTGGAGGTACTGTTTCTGGAGGGAAAAAAACAATCACCTCAAGTCTACTACGTAAGTATGACTAAGAAAATCACCTCAAAGGGCAGGGCCAAAGCTTCCCTTCCCATGTGACGGAGAAGCACTTCCCTTGGAAGCTCACACAACCCAGGCAGGAAGTACGACCAGTTCTACCTTTCAGAACCCCTCCATAATCTTCTCTCAACGAACAGCGGCTGGAATCCCAGGCCCAAGGGAGGCACACCTCTGTGCCAACCTTCGGGAGAAAAGATCACAGCTGAGACCATTTTCTCTCCAACCTGTGGGGTGTGGGAGGTGGGAACAAACAGAGGTATCTCTACCTAAAGTCTATCTTTGTACCCTCTCTAGCACTCTGGAAGGGTAGCAAAGGAAATCACAGTATTCATATACATGTCAGTCTATACACAGAAAGTAACCTAGATCAGCTGGTCCACAATCATATATGCTCTCTACCTTGTAATCATGTTATGGAGATACCAGATAATTCTTGATAAGGCATGGGGGAAAAAAAATTGGAAAAGGTGAAGGAATGGAAATTAATGATGAATCAGCCTCAGCCTATGTGGACAGTTTTAGGCACATCATTTATAATACTCCAGCACATAATATGTGGACACATCTAACAGGTTAATAAAATATATATTATATATATATATATGTATATCTCCTACTGTACATGCTGCCCTCTTGTGCAACCACTGTGACTTTAAGCCCCACACTCAACCTACGGTACTCTAGGATTGGACCACAATCCATCCCCCAATTCTCTTCACAATTGGGGAAAATAAGGGAGCCAGGCTCTGGGTAAAGGAACTGATACAGCAGATTCCTTTGTCAGCTCAGAAGCAGGAAGGGATGCTGAGTCCTGAAAACACCATATTCATCCAGGGCCTCCCAGGGCTGGTGTGCATAGCAAAGATGGAGAAGATGCTCCCCTTTTTAATCTTCATTTTTTCTTTAAAGTGTGGATCACTTTTTCTTGGGTTATCACTGAGCTGAGAGTGCCCAGGAAGGGACTCTACTCCTAGGTGGTTTTAGAATGATTTAGTTGCTAGATTATAAGAGACACACTGAGACTTCCAATGGATCTTTGCAAACTGAGTTTTGCTAGCCTATAATTAAATATTAAAAAAATCAAATGAACCAAACCCTCCCTCCCTCAGCCGTACCCCAGAGGGCTCTTCTAACTCCAGTCAGAGTCTTTAGATGAAGCAGACAGGTGACTTCCAGAGTCAGTTCCAATCTTAACTGGTGAACAGGCTTGCTGGAAGAAGGCTGCTGGGTTCTAACTACCAGGGGACTTGTAAAAAGCTTAACCTCCCCAATTCAGTTTCCAGCGTCCTGTGTTCTACTTTATGTGTGGAGATCTTAAAAAACCCTTCAGGCTCTGGGATCTTGGCCAGTGGTGGCTCTTTGAGGACGGAAGCTGGAAGGCATTGATATTTCAGCAGAAATAAATGGGACCCAAATCAGGATGGCCAGTGGGGAATCCTGTCACTGGTGTCCACTATACTGATTAAATGCTGAAGATATTTATGAGAAGACGAGTAAGACATCCAAAAAACAAGTTATGTTAAGTGACGTGTTTTCTCTCTATCTTGATTTTTACCCAGTCATAGAATATAAATGTATCCAGGTATGAACCCCACTACCCAAATCAAGCTTGGAGGTTTTATATATATATATATATATATATTTTTTTCCCCCCCTCTCTTTAAAAATTTTTTTTTTTACTTAAAAATGGTTTGAGCTGCAGGTCAGGTCAGTCTGATTCTGGGAGTGTTGGTAGTTCCGTTGGCATGAGAGACTTATCTACAGGCAGGTAAACAAAAGTCTAACAAAGGGCATAACAAACATAGGCCAGCTGTCGAGGTTGTACACAGACTCTTTCAGAGAGTGATGAGGATGCTGTGGACGAAATTCGAGATGGGGCAATGGAGCGGACAACTGCTGCTGTTCTAATCTGGGTGCTCGCTTCTCCTCAGAAGAGGCGGAGGGGAGACTATACAGGAGGGCTGTACAAAGTGGGCACTGGGCAGGTGGTTGCTTTGGTGGCCATCCGGGCTCTACCTGTCCTTGAGCTCTCGTGTCACCCGCTTGGTGATGCGTCCACACATCAGGCCAATCAGGAACAGTATGCAGATGCCCACTGTGATCACTGACAAGATGTAGTTCTTAGATGGGGACGTCATCACCTGCATGGCAAGATCGGAGAAGCCTTCTGCTGGGGCGACCTGGAAGGAAGGGGGAAGCAGAGGGATGCGTGGTCAGGAGCCTGCACCTGCATCAGCTGCTGCTTCCAGCCACTCCTCATCCTCCACGTTCCCAACTGCTCTCTAGGAGCGCCACAATGTTCAGTACTCTGGCAGAACCAGGACTGAACGAAAAGCTATTCAGACACACGTTAACTCAGTCTTTTCAGGCAAGGTGAACCAAACACAAGTCTCATGTTCGGCAGACTGCTAGAACAGGAGACCCAGAGCACGGGGCAGGTGGAAGGCAGGTGACTTCAGGTCTCTAAGACTGGGGGTGGGGGTGGGGGACACGGATGGGGAGAAGATGGCAACAAAAAGAAATACTAATCCTTTCATTCCCTCTTAAGCAACAATACATTCACAGGTGCCACCTTGAAGTGTTCATGCAAAGACTGAATGACCAATTATCAAGGATGATGAAGAGAAGGTAGGGGTTGGACTAGATGTAGATGATAAGGATGAGGAGGATAATGATGAGAGCTTACGTTTATATGGCGCTTCCTTTGTAGTAGGTATTGCGCTGAGTGCTTTACCATTTTTATTTCATTTGATCCTCAAAACAACCCTGGGAGGGAGTGCTCTTATTTACCCCCATTTCATAGATGAGGAAAATGAGGCAAACAGAGGTAAAGGACTTGCTCAGAGTCACAGAGAGAGGAAGTTTCTGAGGCTGGAGTTGAACTTAGGTCTTCCTGACCCCAGGCCTGGCACTCTATCCACTGCAGCACCTCGCTGTCCCGAAAGGCCTTTCAGGACATCCTGACCTAGATGAGCCCTGAGATTCTCAATCTATGACTTCTTTCATCTTCAACTTGCTGTTTGTTCTCCATTAATTCAGACTGAGGGGCAATACCATTCTCCCATAAACTCTGATGAAAACCTAACAAAAAATTATTATGGAGGGGAGGTGGGGCTTACTACATTTCCCATGGGCCTGCTGCCTGATTTCCCTTTGGCTCAAGGAACAGGAGAAGCCGTATGGCTGACTTAAGTCACATCTTTCACTGAGCTGACTGATTTCTCAGCTGCTTAGCTTGAGGGAAGGAAAAAGCCAGTCTAGACGAAGGCATGTAGGCATGGCTTTTGTGGCTGCAGCCCTTGCTGCATTTGTTGTCCTAGTAAAAAGGGAGAAGATACTTTTAGGATCAAGGGTTATCCCTGTTTTGGTCCTGACTGGCTTTTAAAAATAAGATTCCTATAGCATATCACAAAACTGGCCCTGCATGCTCCTCCCAAATGTAAACACGGCAGCTCGAGGTCTCCCGCCTGAGAGGAATGAGGAACAGGACGCAGGCAGTGGCTCTCCAGAAGAGGGCTAACTCCTGGAGAAGCTGCTCCCCCCTCAAACCTTCACCTTGGCTGCGTAACTCCACATCTCAATTCGATCGTTGAGGCGTTTCTTGCACTCAGGCTGCAATCTCACCCGTTTATCTTCCAGGGCCTCCATTAAGCAGGACATTTCTGCAGGAGGAAAGGTAGTCACAGAAGGGCCTAAACAGCTGATAGACGCATTTCCAAACAGCCAGGGAGGAGGGCATTCATCCAGCTACATGTCACCATAAAATTCAAAACCATCAAGAAAACAGGCTTCCTTTAGTCCATCTGAGGACACTAAACCAAGATGCCACACACAAAGGAATGTTCTCTATCCTTTTCAAAATCTCCTCATTCGTGCAAGACTTCGATGGTTCAAAATGCCACACCTACCCAAAGTCTAAGTCTTTCCCCCATTCAGAGCTGCCCTTGTCCTTCTTTCTAGACACAATTCTCAATGACCCTTGTGGGTGGCTGCTCAAATTTGGGCAAAGGAAGCTGAAGACCATGTCTTTAAAGCTTCTTTTCTATTTCTATGCCTAAGTAATTCTGAGTGGGTGGCAAGATATTTACTGGCTTCAAGCTGCTTTGTTCTAGCAGCCACTGAACCCAGTAACATCCGTGGTTTCCAGAGCACTTAACCTAGAGGCAAGTTTGTATGGGTTCTGTTCCCAAATACTTCCAACTACAAATGTGAAAGTGACAATGCCAACATCCTGGAGTCCCTGCTCTTCCTCCACCATGTTCATAGCTTGTTTGTAAGAATGGGCATGTGAAGCATTTAAAGGCCAGTGACTCACGCCGCCCTCGACCAGGGGGAATGGCTGCACAATGATGTTTGATGTCCAGGGCACAGGCTGTATGGAGAACTGGGTCCACAAATATGTCTGCTTTGCTTTCTTTTAGCATGTTTAATACTTCCTGGAGAGGAAAGAGGATGGCAAAGAAAAGAGACAAAAACCAAGCAGATCAAGCCTATTATTTGCCAGTATTTACACTCAAACAAAGAATCAATTAGCAAGTCCCATGGAACAGAATACAAATTGCTTTGGGCTGGATGGAATCACAGGGACTAAGAAAAACATGTATATTTTAATGTATAATCAATGACTAATGGTGGTCTGTAGAAATCCACCTTAATGGGGAGGAGGGGAAGAGGATGCTGCCGCCACCAATAAAACAGACTTGAAACACGTGAACAAACTCACACAGCATAATGGTGGGTGACCCCTGAACCAAGCTACAAGGGATGAAGATACCTAGGGCTGAATGAGCAACGCTTGGGAGGGGGAGCAGCGGCCGGGAGGGGGATGCTGCCGTTGGTGGACTTCTCTCTCTTTTAAATAGCTGGGAATGTTTGGGGGCTCTAGGGCTGTTATTTACCTTTTTACACATTTCACTTTTGATTTTGAGCAGGTTCACTTTTAGACATTCTTCTACCTGGCCCGTCTGCTCCTGGGCAGCTGCTTCTTCTGCACACAGGCTGGAGATCTATTCAAAGGACACACACACAGGGAGCACACCTCACTGAAGTGTAAAAGGAAGACCCCTCAACGACAGCAGGCAAACACGATGGCTTTGCACTTGTGTTACACCACTCTCTGCCGCAGGGAGAAGGGAGCTCACACAGCAGCATCGTGATCTGCAGCATCTCCAATTACATTTGCCAAGAGCTCTCTTCTTAGAGAATCTTGGCAAGTGAGTGTCACAGACTGCCTCCTGTCCCCTGCCTTGGAGCCTCAGCTCCGCCTCCCTTGCCGCGCCTGACAGTCAGTAGAAAAAAGCAAACTGAGATATCTTTACACGACAAATACCCAGATGTGAGTCAGACTGATCCAGGGTTTGTCCACAGATGGATTAAGACCTGATAGGAAAAGGTGGACTGCTAGAAGCTGAAGGTCACGGTTTAGCACACATCCATGCTTGGGCGCATTAGGCACAGAGATTTCTATAGTACAGTCCACAATAAAGAAGAAAAATAGACCAACTTTCCTTGATTTATTTAAATCCATGTCTTGTCTGAAAAGCACCTCTTTAACTATGATCCCTTTGAAAGGAGATGGTTGATACAATGTGTTACAGAAACAAATACTTACCAACTAAATTTTTCAATGCATCCCTTTTCAGGGAGAGGCCAAATGGCTCCCAGAATCAGCACTGTTATAAGATATCAAAGGAGCATTTCATCTTTTCAACAATTCAGGATTGGAATGCACCACCCAACATGATGAGATAGGGAAGGGAAGGGAAAAAAAATCAAACTTCAATAGAACAGTTTTGTCTAGCAGGCTGCTCACTACAGAAATAAAGAAACACCAATACGAAACCTCATTTCTGGTTTCTAGGTAAATCTGATATACTATGAACACACAGGAAGAGGAAATCTATTAAATCATGCAGTCACACTCATTTCCCTAACACTTCTGGGGTTACAGATCACTTTACGCATACTGGCTCATCTGATCTTCCCAACTCAAGGAGTGGAGAGGCAGAGGTATGATTCTCCTAGCAGGGCCAGACAGCTCATAAAAAGAAGAGATGGGATTCTTTTAGCAACAAGTCCACTACTGTCCTTTTAACTAGACTAGTTACTTTCCATCAAGTAAGATGCAGGAGAATCTAGAAGAGTGTTTATGAACACTCGTGATAAGGGAGGTAAACCAGGGTTGAATTCGGTTTAACTCAACTCCTCTTGCCCATCAGAAGTGGCCAGGATCGGCTCTGGTCACAACTGGCTTCATGACAGGCTCTCCTACCTCATCTGAGCAATGCATCTGCAGCTGAGGGTCAAGTCTGTAATCCAAAGCAGACTCCTGGATTATTACTCCGATCTGGTCCTCACAGTCTGGAGAAAGTCGCTGCATGTGGGAGAGCAAGGAGAATAGTTAATCAGCCTGCTGACTCTGACCTCTCTGTTCAGCCACAACCTGAGATGATTTCTCAGAAGTATAAGGAGTAACGAGTGTTAAGCAACGGATTAAAAACCAACCCCTCTTCAGGCCCACGGCCACAGATCAGGGACCATGTTCTGCTCCCAGGTTTACCTGATCAGCATATTTCAGTTTCAGGCAGGCAATGACTTGGCCTTCCAGCTCGGAGTCATCCTTAGCCTTACTGATGATATTTTGGCAGAATTTAGGAATGTCAGCTTTACAGGCTTTCCTCAGCACAGGGTTTAGACGGTAATCTGGGACAAAGTGAAGAGAAAGGGGACCAGGAAACTTAACAAGGGTTCACACATACCTATCTTCTATTCTGTTTCTATTGACACTTAAAATTTTTTTTTTTTAAATTTTCAGTTCCAAATTCTTTCCCTCTCTCTAGCCCCTCTCCTACTCATTGAGAAGGGAAGAAATGATACCCATTATACATATGAAGCCATTAAAGATATATTACACATTAGCCATGTTTGAGAAATAAAACACAAAAGTGAGAAAAATAAAGGAAAAAAATATGCTTCAACCTGCACTCTGGGCCTATCAGTTTTCTATCTGGAGGCAGAGAGCATTTTACATTAGGAGTCCTTTGGAGTTGTGATAGCTCTTGACACTGCCTCAAAAGCAGCCATTTACTGACATGTCCTCTCCCCCCACACTGAACCCCAGAAACAGAAAAAGAGTTAAGCAAAACTAAGTGCCCTCATGTGATGCCCACACAACCTCCTGCATTGTCAGTGCTGTTCTACTATGCCATGAATGAAAGAAGTAAGTGTGGCTTGTTATCGGTTCTCTGGGACCAAGGTGCTCACCAAGATTTTGGAGAACAAAGGAAGCCTGGGGGGCGCATCCATGAGCTGCTTTCCCTACTCAACGCTACATGACTATAAGAGGAGGAGGAGGAGGAAACTCAAACTCTCTCTTTACACGGAAGTTGTTTTCAGTCCTAAGTCAGAATTAATCTTGAGATAACTCACTCTTCAGTAAAACCACCCCAAACTGAGGACTGACTGGTGGAGAGAGGTCTTTGAGTCTCTCTGTCCTCTTGTTTCCAGAGGGTGCTTCCACTACTGCTGGCCATGGCAGCCAAGGTCTTGGAATCATTCTCATCACCTCTGGGTCCTCGTGTCTAACTGAAATCCCAACTCTGACAACAACGATCCCTCCTCTTCCGTACCTGGAGATGGTGAGTAAGCTTCGCGCCCTCCTTCTCTACCTGCCTGACGCCCGTCCTCAGGACATGCTTCTCCAGACAACCTCGCCTCGTGGGTGGCTGGGATCTACCCCCCTCTCCTAGCCTGCATCACATCAAAGCAGAGAGTCTCACTGGACCGAAGGCGTGTCTAGGCTGCCTTGTTACTCCCTCTGCTGACTTCCATCCATGCCACGGTCAGCAGCACACCGAGGAGCTGAGTGAGGGGGGTCAATTACCTGTGCTCTGGGTAATCTGGCGCTTGGTGATCATCTGTTTGCATTTAGGGTCCATCAGCTCGCTGTTCTTATTTTGTTTCAAACACTGCAACATGTTCTTTGAATCTGCATCTGGACAGAATCTCTGCAAAGAGAGGAAGTCCTGTGAGCAGCTCCAGGCACAGCCCCACCCTGGGCCCCAGCAGCACCAGCACGGCACACAGAGCCAGGACACTGCGCTCGGCCCCAAGCTTGGACAGAGGCCGTGTGGCCAACCAAAGGCAACCGAAACCTCAGGCTCCCGACCTGCAGAACAAGGTCAGTAACAGCTGAGCTACATAAAACACAGGACTGCTGGGAGAAAAGCACTTCTTTGCTATAGAAATGTGAGCACTCACTTTTTCCTAGTTACCCCTGAGCTTCACTAGAGGTTTCACCGGCTATTTCTGTACTGAAGGGCTCAAGAGAGAGCAGGCTGCAGCCATTGCTTTGTGCCAGCTTACCCACAGAAGAGGAGTCAAAATGTGTTCTCTGCATCTTGAGCATAAAGATGCAGCCCCCTCCCCCGCCCCCGTGTTCTCTACCATAATTACCACTAATATAGCAGCAGGAAGTTGCTGTCAAATGGGCAGACGACTCACAGGCACCACAAAACAGACTCAGGATTTGGAGGAGTGGGTTTTATTACGCACTGAAAAGGTGACATGCACCTTAATGGGACACTGATCATCATGTATTGTTATTATAAGTGGTCATTTTTACAAAAAGATTACCACGGAAATTGCTGCATGAATTTAAACTGCTAAGGATGAAATGGAAGAGAAATTTCATGAAGAACCTGATAAGACCCTTCAGATAAAATCAACAGATACTCTAATGCTTAGAGACTTAAGTGCATGAGAAGGGAGAAGTGAAGATGGGGAAAAATATGTGAGAAAACACAGCTTGTAAAGAAGCCCCAGGTCTCCATATCATGAAGGCTTTTTTGGGGAGGGGGGAAAAATGATAGGTGATAGATATGGTAAGCACCAAATTATACCATAAAGAAATAAACAGATTATATTTAAGCAGACAGGAAAAGACTTGCTACTGATGTGGGAGTTATCTGAGTCAGCTGACTGTACAGTCAGATCACTGACTCATAAGTATTAAGATGAAAGTTAGTTTGGGGCAGCTGGATGGTGAAGTGGATAGAGCACCAGCCCTAGATTCAGAAAGACCCGAGTTCAAATTTGGCCTCAGATACTTGACACTAGCTGTGTGACCCTGGGCAAGTCATCTTACTCTATTGCCTTGCCAAAAACGATTAGAATTAGTTTGAAAAAAGTCAGGGGAGGGAGGGAGAGAAGGAAAACAAGAACAAAAATGAGAAAATGATATAATATACAACTGAACATAATCCTGAATTAAAGAAATAACTGAAAATAAAAAAACGGATCAGAAAATGGCACTGACACTGACTCTAATAATTTCATCCAGAAATTTAACAAATAAATTAATTGCTACAAGGAGAACAAAAAGCCCAAAGAGCCTCTTAAATCATCCTATGGGCATTCAAAGATGAAAATAGAAACAGGGCTACAAAAATGGAAAATATCTGAAAGTTATTTTAACCAGCTGTTGTCTCCATCGAGAACAGTGGAACTTCATTTATAAAATAAACATATATGAATATCTAAAATACATAGAGAATTAAGTCATATTTATAAGAATACAAGTCATTTCTCAATTGATAAATGGTCAAAGGACATGAGTAGGCAGTTTTCAGGTGAAGAAATTAAAGCCATCTATAAGTCGCATGAAAAAATGCTCTAAATCACTATTGATTAGAGAATGCAAATCAAAACAACTCCGAGGTACCACATCACACCTAACAGATTGGCTAACGTGACAAAACATGAAAATGATAAATGTTGGAGAAGGTGTGGGAAAACTGGAACACTAATGCATTGTTGGTGGAATTGTGAACTGAGCCAATCATTCTGGAGAGCAATTCTGAACTACGCCCAAAGGGCAATCAACCCTTTGATCTAGAAATACTACTTCTAGGTCTGTATCCCAAAGAGATCATAAAAAAGGGAAAATGACCCACATGTATAAAAATATTTATAGCAGCTCTTTTTATGGTGGCAAAGAATTGGAAATTGAGGGGATGCCCATCCATCCATCGGGGAATGGCTGAACAAGTTATGGTATATGAATGTAATGGAATACTATTGTGCTATAAGAAATGATGAGTAGGCAGACTTCAGAAAAACCTGGAAAGACTTGATTGGACTGATGCTGAGTGAAGTGAGCAGAATCAGGAGAATGCTGTACACAGTAACAGCCACCTTGTGCAATGACTAACACTGATAGACTTAGCTCTTCTCAGTAATGCAAGTATCTAAGACATCTCCAAAGGTGTCATGATGGGAAATGCTATCCACATCCAAAGAAAGAACTATGGAGTTTGAATGCAGATCAAAGCATGCTATTTGCTATTTTTTTCTTCTGTTTTGTTTTGTTTCCTCCTTCTGGTGGTTCCTCCTATTGGTTCTAATTCTTCCTTACAACATCACTAATGTGAAAATAAATACGTTTAGTAGGAATGTGTATCAGATTGCACACTGTCTTAGGGAGAGGGGGAGAAAAATTCAAAACTCAAAAGCTTATAGAAGTGATCACTGATAAATCAAAATAAATTAACAATAATAATAATCATAATAATAATGATGATGATGATGATGATGATGATAAAGAAGAACAGTGGAACCACCACAATTGGACCTTAACATGACATGTACTTATAGAAGGGGGGCTCAGAAGTTGAGCACAATTTGTAGATGGCTTTCTCAGGGAGTTTAGCCACAAAAGGGAGGAGAAATAAAGGAGTAGAGATAAGGAAGAATGGCTGACTCAAGTAGAGGCTTTTTTTTTTTTTAAGGATGGGAGAGACATGGGGATGTTTGTAGGAAGGACAGTAATTTTGATACCCCACCCAATTTAATCAGCATTTATTCCATTATTGTGATTGGATGGGTATCAGTGATTGTATTAGTGAATTAAGCAAAACAGAACTGCGTTTGTGTGAGGTAATTATGTTAATGCTGTTAGGATAAGAGGTATAAATGATTAATCCACCACATACTGGTAATTAGACTGATTATAATCAAGGGTATAAGATAGTGTAGAGCTAAGCTGGTTCACCAAGAGGCTGAGATAGGGAAGGGAGGAAAGTGTAAAAACTTGTCAACCTACATCCTGACTCTACTACATATAATATGGAATCTTTGAGAGCCATCTATAGATAATCAAGGGCATCCTTGATGAGGATATTAGTAGTAAACAAGCATGATTTCATTAGTGACAGTTAACAGCGGACCAAATCTCTTATACTTAAATGAAAGAAGTAGAGGATTTAATACCCCATTGTGCTTATTGTATGTTGATTATGAAAATTTATTAGAACAAAATGATGCTTAAAAGGCTCTTTTGCCACAAGGTGTTTCCCATGCATACGTTATTTGAAATTCAAGAATCCTTGGAAGGGGAAGCTAGGTGGTGCAGTGGATAGAGCTCTGGCCTTGGAGTTAGGAGGACTGAGTTCAAATCTGGCCTCAGATACTTGACGCTTACTAGTAGTGTGACCCTAGACAAGTCACTTAACCCCAACTGCCTCACCAAAAAGGAAAAAAAAAAGAATCCTTGGAATTTTTAACAATAGAAATAAACCTGTTTAGTGACCCTCTGATGATAAAAATCAGTGAGGCCTAACACAGGAAGATGTTTGCTTATCAAAAGTATCTGTCACTGAAAAAAGGAGATCTGTTGCTGAGTCTGGGAAGGGCCTCCACCTACTCTGTTTGCCCATGCCACTGGGCTGATTCCATCAAGCTCTAGAACTCTGCATAGAGGTCTGTAATTGTTCAAAGAAGTTTGGCTCGAACATCCACAAAGGCAGGACCAAGCAGACAAGGAAAGTCTACTAGCCAGATTTCACCATGCATTTGAACAGACACCCTCTGAAGACTGTCCATCAGTGTGTACATCTGAGACAGATAACAGGCCGGGAAAGACCACGAATTGACTGGGAGGAAGAGTGTGGGCTAGCCTGCTTTGGGGATGGTGTAAAGCTTCCGAAGGAAGTAAAGAGCCATCTCTGCAGTACCAGGCTTCTGTCAGTGTGTATGGCAGCAAGACAAAGAGTACAACATGCCAAAGAAATAAGAATGAGCACCAAACAGATGACAATGGAGAGGAACATGGTGAGCGTGAGCATGCTGCAACCTACAGCCAATGAGGATCGCCATGAAAGAGGACTGAAAGATGGCAGAGAGGAACCGCAGAACAGAAAGAGAAGACAGCCAGGCCACATGGCAAGAACTAGAGATGACAGCTGGGCAGCCACAACATTTCACTAGTACCCTTGGAATGTCAGGAAAAATTCAGAAAGGCCTCCAGGATGGTTGGCCCCATGGTAATGCCGTGGGACCACAGACAACAGTCTCATGGTGGATGGGGTAGACAGATTGGTTGCAGCTTGCACCATGACAGGGAGCTCCTGAATCAGTCACAGCATGGGAGGGGGTGAAAGGGGGCTGAACCTGCTGGGAAGCTTCTGCTCTGGCTGCTGGAAGAGGCGGTCTTACCTTGATCATTTGTTTACAAACTCTCATGAGCGTGTAGTCCAGTTCTGGGTCCATCATCTCTGTCTCTTGCAGCTTAAAGACCTTCTGGTGGCACCGAGGACTGAGCTGCTTCTTGTTCTCTTTGAGGCACTCAATGATCTAGGAGAGGATGAGACAAAGCCAGTCCGAAGACGGGTCCTACAGCGTGATGGCCACCAGGAAGTGCCCATCTGCACGCCTCTTTCTAGGCTAGGTCTGACATGGCAGAAGGCAGGATCCATATTCTGACATAAAGTAAACTCTACTGGAACTTAACTCAATCACAGGCGCTGGTGTTAGTAAAAGGGAGCCACGAGGACTAGGACAAGAGAAGCACTGCAGAATAATCTGATTATTTACATATCTAAGGCAGACTTAGTCTAGCACAAATTTGGCATTTGCCTTGCAAACTGACCACACCATGGTGAGGCAAAGGACCACAGAGGAAAGGAAGAAGGGGAGAGCATCAACTCAGGCTCCCTTGAGAATTTCCAGGCTCTTCTCCCCATTCCCCAGAAGTGTCCCAATAAAGAAGCATTCCTCAGAGAACAAGGACAGAACCTTTCTGGGTCTGGCTGCAGGGGCTCCCCAGTGATGATTTACCTGGGCATTGCCAAAGGGCACGGTCTGACAGTAATTCTTGATGTCACTTTTGCAGGCCTCATGTAACTCTGGCTCCAAACGGATATCCTCCGTCTGTACCAAAAAGGGAACCAAGAAACAGGAGCCATAAGAGTGAGCTCGGAGCTGAGAAATCAGGCACGTCCTAGACTTATCTATGCCAGGTTCATACCTAGGACCCATAATTTCTACCTACAAGAGCCAAAAGTGGGTGAGTCAGGAGAGAAGAGCACTGAGCTAAAAAGTGAGTGAACAGCTCACTTGGCCACCACACACAAGCTGTGCGATCTTAGAGAAGTCACATCTCAGAGTCCTCACCTGTGAAATGGGGACACTGCCATGTGCTCCACTGCTTGAGAGTAATGGGTGTGAAGGCCTCGCCTTGCAGGGTTTGGATGCATTCTGACTGAACATCAGGGGATGCTTTTCTGGGGTAAATGTGTGATTTACACAATTTTGTCCTTGATAAAACTGAAGGACAGCAAAACTGGATGATGTGAAGTTTTGCATTTTCTTAACTTCAGGAGTTAAATTAGAAACTGGGTAAGGTGTATCTGTTGCCACATGGAGTTCCAACACATAGCTACAGTACCCTGAGCAGCTTGACACTGGCTCAAATCTTCTGACGAGATTTAAAAAAGGGTGACTGTGGGTCGCAGTGAAAGGGAACCTGAGAAATGCAGGACAAGGCCATATGAGGCCACCTCAGGCATTACCATTTCCAGCTCCTCAACGCGTAGCTGTCTGCGGCATTTCAGGGACACCCTCTGCTCCTTGGCATCCTGCAGCGTATCATTGCGTACGGTGGTACTCAGGCAGATCACCACGTCCACTCTGCCAACCAAAGGAGAGCTTGTGAACCTGGCCAGTCTGGCAAAAAGAGCAGCTCATGCCTATGGCTGCGCTTCCAGAGAAGCCACTGTCCCATGTTGCGACCAGCTTAATCGGCTATGAGCTCACTTTGGAAGCTGTCCTGAAAGATTCAAGTCCAGCTTGATCTTTCCCTCCAAGCATGCATTGATGAGGTGGGAGAAAAGATGGCGGCAACTCCGTTTATTTTTAGCAAAGCACTTATTTATATAGTAAAATAACAGGAACTCTTTCTCAAGTTACAATGACCTATAACCCATGCTGTGTTTGCGGACGGTGCATGCACAGTCCATGAACTTACCTACCACCAATCACAAATACACTGTAAATGACTAATGAGTAACTAGGGAAATTAAAGAGACATAGGACGGAGCACCAAATCAGGCAACCTTGCTCGCGGACCAGCACCCGAGAGGGGTCTCAGCCCTTCAGTGAGATCTCGTGAACTGTCTGTGGCCCTCTACATCCTTACAGATCCCTAACAGTCCCACTTATCTCGGCCTCAGGCTTTCTGACTTCACCCTGCTGACAACCTCCATAGTTGTTTAGGCTTCTCTGAGCAACAAACGTTTGGTTCCAGTTTCATCAAACCGGGTGGCAGCTTTTCAGCAACCTATGTGGTAGGCCCAATACAGCAAAAAGCCCAACATCCAAACATTTATTTTGTTAAAAATAGACATCTTTGAGATGACATAGCACTTAAAAATCTGTTTCTTGTCTTTGGGTTACTGTAAATTAATTCCTGGAAGACAGGGAAATCTGATACCTTGGAGCAGTTTTCTAACATGTTAGCAAAGAAAGGGCTCGGCTTCTATGTGAGGAAGCATTCCCCCAAGAATGGGGCATCATCAGCAGGAGCAGCAGCACGAGAACATGGGGTTCCACACCTATAGGAAAGGTGATCACTGCCTTCACTTAGTCCTAATCCTTAAATCAATACAGTGTTTATTTCTACACTAGATAGCTCATTAAAGAACTCTTCTGTTTTCAAGTAATGACATAATGCAAGACTATTGGGAAAGATCCAGATAATCTTGATGCCCAGCTTGTCAGCACTCCAGCCACTAAGCTTGCCTTTGCTACGCACCACACATCCTGTCTTACAAAAGATACAAAGCAAAGGCACCAGCTTCCCACTCTTATCTACCTAGAGACTGCACCTGCTCCCAGCCTAAGGCAATGCTGCAGGACAGCCACAGCTGTATTACAAAAATTAAGGAGCTGGAGACAGCTTAAAGCCAAAAGGCTTAGCATCCAGGACAGCCCAAATGGATTCCCCTCATATCCTGCTCCTGAAGAGGTCTGGGGAGGAAAGGAATTAAATGTTCCTTCTCTAGTATCCAGTGGCTCAATGAGGCTTACACCTTCTATAGAAACAGAGCAAGGTGAGGCACTTAGAAGCTACATACTTTTTTTTGATGTTGGGGCAAAGTTTTAAGACATCTTCCTTGCAGGCCATTTTAAATTTATAGGAGAATCGGAAGTCCTTCATCTGGACCTGAAATGTTAAGAGGCAGAAAACAAAGAAGGTCATACAGCAAGATTCAGTCATCAGAGGGGACTGTCATTTAATCAACATAATTTCACACAAACTAAGAATGTTTTGTTCTCTTAAGCTTTAGGGAGTCATTTTCTGGGGAATAAAACCCTTGTAAAGCTAAGGGGAATGTCCACATTCTGTTTAGCAGCCATCAACAGCTTCTCACTCACAAATTATGGGCAGAACGCTAAAACCCAGCAGGAATTAGAGAAGGAGTGATTCAGGCAAGAAGTTTGGTGTATAATATAGATTCATCTGGATGACCCTGCAGAGCCTCAAGACACGAAGGCTGGCTCTCACTCCTCCTAACAGTGGAGATAGCCTGCACAGTAGAAGCTGCCCCATGTTTGTCTCTGGAGTCCCGGCTCCTGGCACACAGCAAACACTTTTCATACATGCTTATTAACTGAGGGGCCTCTTACACACGTACACTGTCTGTCTGTCTCTCTCTCTGTCCAGGACAGAGATTGGAGCATTCACACCAGGAAAGCCAATCATTCTGATCAAATCCTAATACTTAAATCAATAGCTTTGGGGTTTATTTTTCCTCAATACAAGATAAGAAATACACATGTAGATACTAAAATAGATTGAAGACTGGAAAAATTAGCTTTCCCCCTGCAGATTTGCTCTGGTTTTACATACGAGCAGTAGGTGACTGATGAGCAAACCACTAGAATTAGCTGCATCACAGTCCTAGGTTAGACACACTCACCAGCTGGAAGTGGGTGACGCCGATTGCACATTTCTCATTCATCTCCTTCTGGTGTTTGTTTTGGATCAGACACTCCATCAGATCTCCAGAGTCAATCTGATTATCTGCCACGTCCTGAAGGAATGCAAAGCTTACTGACCTTCCACTTGTGGGGAAAAAAAAAACCCACCTAGACTCAAAGAAGATGAATAAGGGTCTGGTTTTGTAAACCAAAGTACTAGCAGTCTAAAAACAGCTGAAATGAGATGTTTTTTATAAACCACAAATGTGTGTTATTGCTGTCATGCCAGCAGTTGGCTTGGGATGTCTAATATATCTCTATTTTTTTGGCTTTTTGCTGAGGTGATCAAAGAGTATTCTTCGATCTGCATTCAGACTCCATCGTTTTTTTGCTTTTGTTTTTAGTGAGGCAACTGGGGTCAAGTGACTTGCCCAGAGTCACACTGCCAGTATTATGTGTCTGAAGCTGGATTTGAACTCAGGTCCTCCTGCACAACCTAGCTGCCCCATCTCTGTTAATTTTAACACACTTTCTAATCCATGTTATTTATGGGTATGTTTCAGTCATGATTCACACACAATTAGGGCACTCAATAATAAAGTAAAGGAATTTTACTCAGCATGGAATCTCCCCATAAAGAGAGCAAGAGGGAATGCAGACAGAACAGGAAGCTGCTGTTGATGCCAACACAGATCTTAGACTACTTTGTCTAAAGCATATTTGTTAGAATCATTAGCCACCTATAAGGCATAATCACTTAAGTTTTCCCCATGACACTGTTACCTCTTTGAAGATTTATTCTTTTTTTCTAATTTGCTATTGGTGATTAGGTTTGAAAATCATGAGTTATAAAAAGCTCCTTTTCTTTCTGGGGGTAATGGGTTGGAGGAAGGGCAATGGGTCCTGCCTATTATGCAAGGTGTCAAATTTAACCCTTTGATGCTCAACTGTCACTTACATGGCAGAAATTCTGAATGATAGGCTCACAGGCTCTCATCAACAAAGCTTCAATCTGAATGTCCTGTAGGAGATAAGGTCACAGTTTCAGCTTGGAAACAGCTAAGGAAGGTGAGGTTTGCAGTATTTTTGAAGGTTAGTAGCTTTGGTTGGAGATGTTATCTATTTGAGTTTTGAGCTCTGCTTGCAAATTAATCTGGATGACTTCTCCTGCTGGAGGTAAGAAGTTAGGATATTTTCCATCTCTATCCAAAACCAAATGGGATGTGGGGAAAACCTGTTAAGTCAAGGGCACCCTAGCAGCACCCCACACATACAAGTGCAGACTATGTATGTACTTAAGATAATACCAGACTAGGCAGATTTTAGGGAGGCTCAAGGAGGGAAGAATGTGAAATTCATGTTCCTGGAGACAAAATATTTTTCTGCATGGCCTTAACTTCTCTGCCTACATAAAACTACAGGTAAGGAAAGAAGGGAAAGAGAAAGTGAGAAACTTTTAATATCATCGGGAAGTTTTTAAGAATTCAAGTGGCTCAGAAATATATTGAAGAATAATAACTAAGAGTAATGACATCTACCCAAATCTTAGGCCACAGGGCTGTCATTCAGACGCCTGCATCCACAAATAAAATAACAGAACAGAGTTTTTGGAGAACAGGCACAGTTACAACTGATGGCCGTAATCACATGAATCACTGCTCCGCTCTAGCTAAAGAAATAGATCCACCGTTTACAAAGTCCCACACCTGAGGGTGATTCTACATGTCATTGAATTTTACGCTTCTCATATGTCAGTGACTGCAACTAGAGTTGCTGAATGAAGGAATTCTCATCTACCTGGCTGCATCTCATTTCAAAGGTTCCCCCAGGGCTGCTTTTTACAGGAATATTACCTGAGGGCCCAACGACAGAATGGGCTGACTGCTCACAGAGTGAGGATACAGGGCTGCGGCCCTATTTAAAACAGATTTTTAAACCTACTGCTGAGAAGCAGGTAGATAAGCTGCTGCCCCAGAAACATAAGGTTGGGCTGCACTGTAAGGAAAGCAAATTGGTAGATTCTACTGAATGAAGAGTCAAAGGTCTGATGTGGGGAGGATCACTCAAGAGCTCAGAAGGTTGGGACGGCAGGTATAGATGGCACAGGAGAAGCGAAGACTCAAAAGAACAAAGGTAAGAAGGGCTGGGCCCGGGCTGCCGACGCCCTCCCAGCGACACATGTGTTAGGCACTGTGAATGGCTTACCTCGGACTCTAACTCCGTGAGGTTGCCCACTACGTCTCTGCACTCCACAGCTAAGTCATCGAGGTGATCCTGGAGGCACTCAAGCTCCTATGGTTAAAACAAAACACAGCCCTGGTCATTGCGCAGTCGCTTCCAGGACCACAGCAACAGGCCTCAGGCCACAAGAGTTTAGAGAGCCCCAGGGCACAACGTCCACACAAAACTCTCCAGGGAACATTTCAGTCTGGGGCCCTCCATCTACAACCCTACTCTGAGCTTTCACTTGGAACTCTCAAACGTTCCACGTCCACAATTCTGTCTCACTGACTAAGAGGTCCTGCAGGAAAAGATACCGGTTAGTAAGATTAATGTAGTAATTCTTGGCTTTCCATAGATATATACAAACTAGGTGGAACTGTGTGGTAAAGGTCTCAGGACTGGAATACCGATAAATACTCGCAAATGGAAGTCACTGAAACAGCTAGTTTGGAAAGACATAAGTAGAAGAAAAGTCTTAGGAGATGCCAAGGATTTTCAAGTTTGTTTCAAATTTATTTCAAAATGACCAGTACTAATTGGGAAAGTTCTCTGTATTCTGAACTAGGGTCAGGGCAGGGTCTGTCCAGTTGTCTGAGAACCACACTAGTCTCTTGCTAGAAACTGGACGACTATCCTCTGATGCAAGGAAGCAAGTCCATACAGTACCACACAGATCTATTTTACCACTGCAAATAAAGCAAATATGTGATGAGAGATTCAGCCAATGCGAGAAGAGGATTCTCTGAGGTAAGTGTATCTCCACGTGTAGACGCCATCTTTCTGGGGACACTCTGTGAAGCAGATCTGGGCCACCTTTGTATATAAGCATATTATTTTTTCCTTCAGTTGGATCATCAGGTGAACTGCATAATTAGCACCTTCCTAAAACTACGCCACAGCAATAGCTATTTTCATGTCAAATGGTTTTTGCTAAGGTGAAAGATGAGGAGGGAGAGGATTCCAGGCATAAGTGACAGGCAACGAAAATGCCTGGAATCAGGAGATGGAAGTATCTCGTTCAAGGAACAGCCCAGATGCCAGGGTCACCAGACTGAAGAGTATGTGGAAGAAGGGGAGAGGAAGTGGTGCAAAGAGACAGAGGCAGCCATCGGAGAGGCAAGAGCAGAGCCAAGAGAAGGAGTTTCAAGCAGGACAGTGACCTACAGTGACAGAGGCTGCAGAAAGGTCAAGGACACAGAGGACTGAGAAAGGACCAGTGCACTTGGCAATGAGAGAGAAGTTCTGGTAGAATGATCATGCTGGAACTATGTAGACAGGGAGAGGAAAGGAGCAGAGGCAGCCACTAGTGTAGACGTCCTTCTCAAGGAGCTTAGCCGCACGAGGGAGGAGAGGGATGGGACAACAGCTGGCAGGACTGACGGAGGAGTGAAGGAGACATGGGCGTATTTCTGGGCAGTAGGGAGACCGTCAGTAGAGAGGGAAAGGCTGAAGACAAGCGAGAGACATCTCCACCCCCTTTCACAGCCAAACGCCTAGAAAAAGCCGTCCGCTCCCATCACATCCGTTCCCACTGCTTCCACTTCCTGCCCTTCTTTCTTCATCCCCTGACAACTGGTTTCCAACCTCATCATCAGTTGAAATCACTGTCCAAAGTTATGATCACTTCATTGTTAAACCTGACGTCCTTTTCTCAGTCCTCACCCTCCCTGACCTTTTTCCGCAGCACCTGACCCCAGTGACACCTTGTCACACTGAACATTCCCTCTTCTGGGTTTCCATGACATGGCTCTCCTCTGGTGCTTCTCCTACCTGACCAGTCCTTCCCAGGCTCTTTTGCTGGTTCATCATTCTAATCACAACCCCCACCTGGAGGTGCACCCCAAAGCTGTATCTTTGGCTCATGCCTTTTCTTTATCCACGTTTTCTTAACTGAGTGATTTCATCAGTTCCCATGAATTTAATTATCATCTCTATGTAGATGATTCACAAATCTATACATCCAACCCTATTTAGTCTTTCTCCTGAGCTCGCCATCCATCTCCAACTCAATATATCCAAAACAGAACCCATCCTCTATCTCTTTTAAACCCCTCCTCTTTCTCACTTCCTTATTTTCATGGAGATGACGCATCTCCTCCTGGCCTCCCGGTTCACAACCTTAGGGTTATCCTTGGCTCTTCTGTCTCCATCAGTCCTATACTCAATCGATTGTTAACACCTGTCCATCCTGTTGCTACCTCTCTCCTATCTGGCCCTCCTCTCCACTCACACTGCCACATCTACAGTCAGCCCTTCATGCCCTCTCACCTTCATCTGGACTGTCAGACATAGTCTTTTTGCCTCCTGTCTGTCCTGTCTCTAATTCATCCTCCAAACAACTGCCAAGTGACAATCCTAAAACAGAGCTCTGTGACTCTTTCTCTTCCCCACTCCAAACCTCCCATGGCTCCCTGCTGCCTCCAGGATAAGCTACAGACTCTTTTGTAGACCACTTTTCCAGACTGACGCCTATTGCTTCCCCCTCCGGCACTCTGGCCCACTTGCCATTTCTAGTACAGGACATTCCATTTAGCCCAAGTGTTCCATCTTCCTCCTTATCTCCTCTTTTGTAGTTCCTGGTTCCCTTCAGGGCTCAGCCCCACAGCCACTTCCAAGAAGAAGCCCCTTCTGACTCTGTCAAGTATTAATGCTCGGTATTTAGGGGAACCTTTGCAGTCTCTAACAAAACTGACTTCGAGTAGAATGCAAGCTCCCTGAGGGTGAAGAACTGCTTAGTGGATATCTTAGCACTCCCAGCACCAAGCCCAAGAAAGGCGCTTAATAAATACTAGCAGAAGAGAGCAGCATCAGTTTCCTACCTGGCCCAACTCTGTTTTTTCACTGCACCACTTGCCCAGGTCAATGAGGCACTTGTCCTGGAGAGCAGGGTCCAGCTTCACATCCATGGCCCGTTGGTGCAGGATCCTCTGGACTTCAGCTCGGCATTCTCGAGACAGCTACACAAAGAAGATGTGATAAGACAGACTTGAAAAAGGTCACAGGATAAGGCCAATGATGAGACAACTGGAAGGAGTGGCTTCATTATCTAACTCCAAACTACCGGTTTTGATTTATTTGCAGAAATGAAAGACACACAACCCCAATTCTGTTTCCTGTGCCTTCCTCCAAGCTCAAGAGGGGCATATTTGTGAACAAGGATGTCATGTAATATAATCTCTGCTTCCTGGAACTGAATAATGAAATGAAACAACCATAGGCAAGGCAGGGGATTCTTGAAATCCTGGAAGGTTTCCTTCCTAGCCTAGCAGTGCACCAGTGAGGGAGCAGTGAGGTAGCATAGTGGACAGAGTCAGGAAGACTCATCTTCCTGAGCTCAAATCTAGCCTCAGACACATCCTAGTTGTGTGACCCTGGGCAAGTTGCTGAACCCTGCTTGCTTCAGTCTCCTCATCTGTAAAATGAGCTGGAGCAGGAAAAGGCAAACCACTCCACTGCCTTTGCCAGCAAAACCCCAAATGGGACCATGAGGAGTCGGACATGACTGAACAACAATAAGCACCAGTGAGGCACGAGAAGGCTGCATACTTCACCTTAGAGACAACCAAATACAAACACTCTGCCCCAAAAAGGCAGGAATCAAGAGAGAGCTATGGAGACCAGGGCAGAAGAAGACTCTTGAGGCATGCTAAGTTACAACTACCACAGGAAAAGCACTAGTACACTGACTAGAGAGCCTGATGGATCTCTGAGTCAGCGCTGAGAGCTTGCGATGAACCCCTCAAGCTCAACGGAGATGGCAGCAGCACTGAAACGTGGCTTTGGGACTGGTGTTTTGCTTCACTCTGAGCATCTCCTCATATCCCTTTTAAACAAACAAACAAACAATAAACAAGTGAAGAGGCAGGCGTGAGGACTGTTTGTTGGAGATGGCATCACACACTCCAAAACGGGACCCGCCAAGTTCTCATTCTGATCCAATCACTGAATAAAAGTTTTCTGTCAGAGGGAGGGATTTTTCTGGCCCAATATACCGGCACTTTCTCTTAGCGCTAATGTTGTATTGGCTAAAATCACGACAATATCGAGTCAACTGATGCCACCATTTCTGAAGCTGGGAAGAAAAAGAAATCGTGGACTGCATACTCTCCTGCCCTGCTCCTCGGTTCGGTAAGCATGTCGATATAAACAGGAGAATACAGCTCCGGGCGGCATGAGCTCACTGGTCTCATTCCAGCCATGGGTATGGCAAAGACGGGAAGCATCTCCTTGGCACTTGCGGTAAAGAACAGGGTCCAGTCTATAAAGAAGAGAGTAAAAACACAACTAGTTTAAAACACCGTCTAATTCACACAGGACTTTGAAGTGCTACCTCACTCAATGACAATCAGCTTCCTGTGGTGCAGGCGCTGGAAGAAGGTATCTGAAAGCTCAAAAACACTCCATTCTTAGTTAACTTGTAAGATGTTACCCACTTCAAATCCTGATTTTGCCCTGGGAGGAGAACATTAGGTTAGGTGGGCATCAACTCTACATAACAGGAAAGAAAACCTGGACCTCACCTACAAGACAGCATTCATGGTAATACACAGTCCCTAGCAAACTCGGACTCCACACTGATCCATCAGGGTTACAACTGAGCAGCTAAGATATGTCTTTAACAACTTTGAAGGACTTAGATGAAAAAATGCCATCCATCCCCAGAGAAAGAACTGATGGTATCTAAACAGAGATCGAAGCATACTTAAAAAATTTTTTTCTTTATTTTTCTTGAGGGTTTTTTTTTGGACTATATTTTCTTTTGCAATATCACTGATAGGGAAATGTTTGCATGACTACACATGTATAACCTATATCAAATTGCTTGCCTTCTTACTGAAGAAGGTGGGAAGAGAGGAAGTGAGAGAATCTGGAACTCAAAATTTTAAAAATAAATGTTAAAAAATTATTTTTACATGTAATTGGGAAAAAATAATATACTAAAAAAAAAAGCTTTTAAGCACAACACCTTTTGACATACTAGACCCTATAAGGAAGCGACAAGTGTCTGATCCCCTTCTTTGTAAATCTCTCTCCTTTCCCTCTATGCTAGGTAATGTCTTAATTGTTAAAAACTAGTTCTATTTTTAGGGTACCAATTATACATATCAGTTCCAGTAAACATACCCACATTACATTGTGAATTTGGGAATGGAGGAAAAACTAGGAACAGGGGTTACTGTTCACTTACTCAAGCCTTACATCTGTAAAAATCACAGGAAGTTTAATTCTGTCCTAACCATATTGTCAACATTTTTGGAATAATGATTGAAAGCAAGAAGAGAGCAGAGAAAAATTTACCAAGTAGCTTCAGAATTCCATGATTTTTATGAATGTTCAGGAATGAAATGGGAAAGCTGGAGACAGGCTAAATGATGAACTTTTTTTAAATGAACATATGTTCTTAGCCAACTTAGGACAGGTTGGGTAAGAACAGATTTCTATAGCTGTATTGCTAACTAACTTCAGAGAATTAAGAACAAAATCCATGGAATCTTCTAGCAAATATTCCAGTAAAATGACTCACAAGAAGAAATTTTAGCAATAGCCCAAGGGTGTTTGGTTTAAACAGACAGATCAACAGCATGAGAACAAGGAGAACTTTATCTGTTGGTCTGGGGGGAACGAGTGCAACTGAATTGTTAAGACAGTCTTCAATGCAGGTACCTCTCTCCCAGCAATCAACTAAAAATCAAGTTCTAACTTTTTGACAGTAAAAAATTCACAATAAAGGGAGGTTTCAACTACTTTGAATAAAGAAATAAAAACAAATTCCCATCTACTGTAACAATCAATAACACAAAAAAAGCAAAACACTGCAATTTGCTTTCATAATTCAAAAATGTTATTTGTTTTCCTCACAGGCTCCAGGGTTTTTTTTATAGACAGACACCTGTGATGCCAGGATTCTGACCTTGTACTTACAAATCAGTGCTATCTGGTGACAGCATAGCAGTGGACTCTGCTTTCAAGCCACCGTACTGAAAGCAGTAAGCGTCAGGCCTCTCAGGATCAAGTATGCTAACCATTCTAGGAAAAAGAAACTCCAACCCTGTCTTACTAACAATTCTACAATTAGAAGATGAAGCAGACTTCGCCAAGAGTTTGGGCTAAGGCATAAGACACTTACTTCCAGTCTCGAGAGATGAAATACTGAAGCTCAAGCAGCCTGTGCTCACAGTCTTCAACCATCTTCTCTGTGTAGAGATGCTCCATCAGGCAAGAGAGGATCCTGCCCACAGGGGGGGAGAAAGGGCACCAGCAGAGTCAGAATACACTCACAACACTTTTCCAATGCAAATGCACCTCAGCGCACATACTATGTGCTGGCCCTATGCTAGGTCCTGGGGATTATTTTTTTTTAAACTGGACCTATGATTTCATCAGGGCAGGGAAGTTTGGATGAGGAAACCCCTACCAGTGCACATCTGGCTCTGCAACTTGGAGCCTTCTGAGAGGCTCACGTGGCCAGGACGTCTCTGATCGTGGATCAACACAGGTCTTCCTAACTCCAAGCGGGGCTCTCTCCCCACTATGACATGCTGCCTCTTATACGTTATCAGACAGGCAGGGCCCCAAAGGAGAAACTCCCTGTCTGCAAGAAAATCTTACATTTTTATTTTACTGGGTGATATAACATATATATATAAATCAAAGATTCAGCACTCCCTTATCTTAGAGATGAGGAAACATGCATTTGGTGACGCGTCCGTGGTCACTGAGGTAAGACGTGACAGACGAGGGATCTGAATCCAGGTCCTCTGACTCCAAATCTTCCCACTGTACTGCCACGTGATTAACAACCGAAGGAATCAGAGAAGGCAAGGAGAAGTGGTGGGGGTTGGGAGGCAGAGCAGCACTAAGAGGGACATTTGGGAAAGAGAACATGTGAAGGGGAGAACCACGGCAAAGGCAGGCTAAGCCAGACTGCGGAGGTCTTTAAATGCCAGTCTAAAGAATTTATGAGCCATCCTCAAGGCAACAGGGAACAGTGAAGGGTTTTGATCAGGGAAGTGACATGTTCATACCTTTGTTTCAGGAAGATAACTTGGAGAGCCACGTGGAAGACGGATCAAAGATGGGAAAGTGGAAGTAGGGAGACCATTGAAGGGGCTAATACAGTAAGTAGTTCGGGCAGAAGGTGGCAAGGACCCGAAACAGTGGTGGTTATTTCAGGGATAAGGCTGCACGGAGGTGAACGGACAAAACTTGGCAATGGACTGGACACAGGGTGTGATGAGGAAAGGAATCAAGAATGACTGGGGAAGTGGAAGGCTGGTGATACCCTCAAAAGAAACAGGGAAATCTGGAGAAGAGGTCCTACTGGATGTGTTGAGCATAAACTGGTGATGGGACATCTAGGTGAAGATAGAGAATGAGGGTTAAGGAGAAAGATTAAAGTCTGGATAGCCAGATTTGAGAGTTAACAGCTTGGAGATGACAGAATTCATGAAAGTTAAGTATGAACACCAAGGAAGTGTATGGAAGGGACCCAAAGACAGTGTTCTGAGGAGCTACCTATGATTAGGGAATGAGAACAATGATAAAACAAAGGAGAATAGCGATTAAGACAGGTAGGAGAAGATTAGGAAGAATATGACAAACATTAAAGACAGAGAACAGCTAGAAAAAAAAATGGATAATGGTGTCAAGGCTGCAAAATTAGAGAAGAATCAAGGAATGAGAAAAGAACAAAGGATTTAATCGTAATAAAGCTGCTTGGAGAGAATAGTTTTTAGGATAGTGGTAGAGTGAGAATAAGTCAATAATGAGAAAAAGATAAACCACGTATGACTCTCACTGTGAAAGGGAAGACAGTGATACGACGGAAGCTCAAAGCAGGGCCAAATGAAGATCTGGATGTAAAAAGCTCAGGTATATGTTGAGAATGGCAGTCAGCAGAAAGAGTGAAGATGAGAGAAAATGATCAGAAGGGGTCAAGGAGGCAGGAGGAAAGGAGAACAAGAGCATAAGTGGAAGACTGAACTTGGGAAGGGAAAGGGCTCCCTTTGCTTCAGAGACTGGATCAGAGGAAAAGATGAAAAAAGTTGCAGAAAGCGTCTGTGGCGCAGAGCAGGGGAAATGAGGGAGTTCACGAACTAGTCAGACTTTCCTGTAGCTTTGGAAACAACCACTTGGCTACTTTCCCAGGACACGCACTTACACTGGAGAGAATTCCTTTGCCTTCCTTTACTCTAGCTCCTTTCATTATGCCAGCGGGTGTACAATTAACTCCAATACTTATGTATGCTACAGTAAACTGAAGCTGTTTCCATCCTCCTAAGGGCTTTTAATTTTATTTATGAATTAAGAGTTCTGCCTTCTCAACTACACTACAGATTCTTTAAATATTGTGAACACTAAATATTTCCCCTTCATCCTAATTCTGATAATTTCTACTCATTGGATGGAAGTGTACAACACATAACTGTTTATGACTGACTTCTTGGTTGGAAAACAAGTTAGAAATATGTGTAAGATATTCAATCAACAAAAGAGCTCAAGAAAACGCTAAGTCAGGGCATATAACACTATCCTATGAACTTTTTTTCTTCATTTTCTTGATTACTCAGTGGTGTAATTCAGGGCTATTTATGATTATTTAAAGAACCATAGGATTTAGACCTTGAACAGGTAAAGTATCTTGTCACACTTGTCCTAAGTGCAAAGCTGGATTCACACTTGGTTGTCTAATTTCAGGTTCTGACATCAGCTTGGAACCTCCAAGTGTAACTGAGCTAAACACAGTGAACCCAACACTTTAAATGGCTAGCCCCAGACATGCCAACCAGCCATCTTGGATGGTGATCTTCCTTCAAAATTCCTCTCCCCTCCCTAAATACTCTTAACCTTCTGCTCTGGGGAGAACAGCCCGATCAGCTGTCCTCTGACTCTGCTCACCACTGCTCCTGTCTGAGGTCACCACCCCTATGCGTTACACTCTCCCACTGGAACCTAAGCTCCTTCATGGCAAGAACTATCTCACTCTTGTATTCAGGTCTCCAGCACTTAGCACAGCGCCTAGAAAAATGTGTTTTCATTCTGCCATGGTGCTCCATGATCCTGATGGGCAGCATCATACTGGTGGTCACATATGACTTAGCTCTCCATACACAGCAGGATAACAGATGAAGAGCTGGGAGGGGCAAAAGAATCATTTGGTCCAATCTTCTCTTTTGATAGGTAGAAGGATACAGAAGAAAATGAAACTTAAGAATGAAATGACTTACCCACAGTCATAAAGGTAGTTAAGGAAAACAGCTGGGACTCAATCCCAGATCCCCAGACTCCAAATTTAGCACCCTACATAAATTACACTAGATTAAAGTATTCAGATCTCATTTCCAAAACTAATTTTAACAAATGTTGATGCACAATTCAGTCACATATTTCAAAACTTCCTCTTCCCCAAATCGTTCCAAGTGATTTAGAATTCTAGTTTCCTAATCACTTTACAATCTACAATCTTATAGCCCATTCCTCTATTCAATCTCAGCTATACAGCGAATCACAGAATCTGAGAGATGGAAGAGAACCCAGGGGAAATCTAGTTCAACCCATAAACACAAAAAGCTCTTTCCTGTATCATACCTAGAAAGTGGCCATCTAGCCTCTGCGTGAAGACCTCCAGAGAGGAAGAACTCACCACTTTTCAAAGCCCACTCCACTCACACACAGCTGTCATCGTTAGGAAGCCTTTTCTGACATCATGCCTATATTGGTCTGTTTGTAACATTCCTCCCTCCCCCTTTCAATCCTGGTTCTGCCTCTCACCCCCACCCCCAGGATGAATGTGACCCCTCCTCCACATGTGACAGCCCTTTTAAATACTTGAAGACAACTATCATGTAACCCCTCACACTCCTACCTTTGGTCTTCTCTTCTTTAGGATAACCAGGTCCGGTTCCTTCAACTGACCCTAAGATGCTGTGGGCTGAAGGCCCTTCACTGTCCTGGCTGCCTTCCTCAGGACCCTCTCTAACTTATCAAGGCCCTTCTGAAAACCAGGTACCCAGAACTGGGCATGATGCTCTAAGAGAGGCCTGACAAGACACAGTCACCTTCTCAATGCAGTGCATAACTGCATCAGCTTTCTTAGCTGGTGTGTCACAGCCTAGATTCCATCTCCAACCACAAGCACTCTACTTCCTTAGTCAAAAATGCTGAAATGTCTGCATCTGGCCATAATCTAAGATTCCATCTCCCCAAAAGTCTTACCCCCTTCTAATCTTCATCCTCCCTATGACCTCCAATCTCTCTACTCCTCAGTGTTTTCTCAGACAATTAACTTTGCTCTGATGTCCTGTCTTTGCCCAAACCTGATCTTAGAGTTAAGTAGTTGAAAACTTCACTGTCCGTTGCTCTCAAATCCCTCCATCCCACAGCAGCATCGTGGCCCACAAGCATGACAAAAGTCAAGCCTGGATCACCGCTACCACCTGCCTCCTTCACTCCTCCTCACATTCTGCCAGGGAGAGCTAGAGCAGGTCACTCAACCAAGCTGACCAGCCCACTACAAGTGGAACTCACTTCATCTCAACTGGGCTTCACCACAGCAAGGAAAGCCTTTGATTCCTCCACTAGTTCATTCTTCAATCCAGTGGTATCAACCTCACATAGAAACGGGGGCCACTAAACTGTACCTATGGATCCCTGCAGGCCACAGAGAGACTGAGGTTAAAAATGTATATTATCTATGTTTCATTGTATCCTTATTTAATTTGTTAAATATTTACCCTTCACATTTTAATCTGGTGTGGGCGGTACTCAGGAGTAATGTGGACTATGTGCGTCCTATAAGCAGCATGTCTGATACCTCTACCCTAATCCACTCTCCACCAGGGATATTTTAAAACCTCTTTCTATTACCTCCTCCTCCTTCCTCCAACCTCCAGCTGAGGACCTTGCCTCACTCTATATGGAGAAAACAGAGGCCAAGAACTCACAGTTCCCTTTTCTCCTCATCTCAAAATCCCCCAACATCATCCCATACTCTCACCTACTTTATTCCAATCTTTGAGAAGGAGGTGCCTGTTTTTGTCAAGGCCAATCCCATTACATATGTCCACCTGGACTGCGTCTCTTTTCATTTCCTCCAGAAGACTTCCTATATTATCACCTCCTCTCTGTCTATCTTACTGGTTCCTTCCCTGATGCTTAGACTATGCCAAGATATCCCCCCCATCCCTTAAAAAGAGTCTTGCACTCGACTGCCACAAACCTTGAAGTCCTCATCCTGTATTTCTCCTCCTTTCTTAGTCAAACTCCCTTTAAAAAAAAAGGCATCTCTCCTTGTTGCCTCTGAGTCCTGCCCTCTCATGTCAACCCTGCAATCTGGCACAGCTTTCTCCATGACACAAATGTTCTCAGTGCCAGAGCCGAGGGTTTTTTAAACTTCCTCTCTGTAACACTCAACACTCCAGAGCACTTTCTCCTCTCAGCTTTGAGGACACTACCTAGTCCAGGCTTTCCGTGCCTTCTCAGTCTTCTCCACTGGCACATTATAGCCCCTAACTGTGGGTGTGATTTCCACAGGGTTTGTCTTCAGTGCGCTTCACATTTCATTCTATAGTCTCACCTCTATGCTGATGCCTCTCAGATCTATAAATCTAGTTCTAGCTTTTCCTGGGCTCTAGTCATACCTTTCCCAATGCCCTATTATTGATCGCAAAATGGAAAACTCAAAGATTCAGCATTATCTTTAATGCTAAAATGATGGCCCTTTCTTTCAGCCTTCCAAGTTCTGCAACCATGGCATCATCCTTGTCTTCTCATTCTCTGTCACCTTATACATCCAATCATTTGCAGAATCCTGCCATTTTGTGCCCGTCTTTGTTAAAATTGTGTCTTTTTCTGGTCCCCTGACTGCCTCCCTTCTAGTCGGGACATATGTCTATCAGGAGACAGTATAAAGAGGCAAGAGCAGGAAATGAGATTGCAAAGGGAAACCTAGACAGCACATACAAAGTGTCCCAAGATCAAAGGAGTATATTTTACAATCTGTATCAAATATTAACCACAAACCACAGCTTGGTAATATGGGTGGTAATGGAGGAAGATAGCTAGACTCTGCTATCAGGGCCTTCTGGGCCTATGATATGTAAATCTCAGACAAGTTCTATCCAGACCTCTGCAGTAATATCAGCAGATCACCATAAGGTGCTGATAATTTTGAGATGATGTAGACATATTAACTTTTAAAGTTTCACCTACAACTCTGAGATGATTTGGTTATATTAATGAACTAGCCCCAAGGTAGTACAGGTAAGAGTTAGTTTGTCCTCAAAAAACCTATAAAATGAGACCTCAAACTCCTCCTCTCCCCAAACCTGTGCTCCCCATTGGGTCCAAGCTGCTGAAGGCTCCCAATGCTTAGAAATATGAGTAATACTCCCCGCCTCTCCCTCTCTCCAGACTCTTCCTCACTCTGCCTGCCTCCCTTAAACAGCCCATTCCCTTGAAAGTCACTTCACGCTCTAAATCTAATCTTTTCTCACTAACATGGTTACCACTTAATTCACATGCTTGCTTATCACCTCTCAATTAGATTACTGAAAAAGCCTCCTAACTGATTTCTCTGTCTCAAATCTTGCCCACCCTCCAACTCAAGAGAGTTAACAAAGGGATTCATTACTCCCTTGTTCAATAACCTACAATGGCTCCCTATTGCCTCTTTGATCAGACACTCCTTTTAAAAGTTTAAAGCTTTTAAATCCCTTCACAACTTGGCCTTAATGTAACTTTCTGGTCTCAACCTGCATTAATAACCTTCCTATAATTTACCCTCTGGCTAAACTGACCTTCTTACTCTCTTATGGAAGGGATTTCTGGCTCATCTCCTCACAAAATTCCCTCTTTCCTTCAAACGCCACTTGCTACAGTAAGCCTTGAGTGACTCTTCCAAGCTGCTGCTGGTCTCTCTTGTCTAGACTATCTTGTAGCTGTTCTATACATCCTTCTACACGGGCAGGTCGGCTCACGAGAATTTCTGTTTCACGAGAGCAGGGCCTGTCTCATTTCCTTCGATGTTCATGGAGCCAGCATAGTACAGTATAGTAGGCACTTGGTAGATGACTGACTGCTAAATGTAACATGACTGTACATGGTGAAGAAGGCACCTACATTGGGTCTCCAGATCGTATGTGCTTGCAGGCCGTCTGTATTACAGATTCACAAGCTTCATTCAAAGCTCGGTCAATGCGGTAATCTGCACCAGGGTCAGTTTCTTGAATCAGTGTTTGAAGCTAGATGAGAGTAATTTGAGAAAATAAAAAAGTTACTGAATAAGTAGAGCAGATTGATGCCAAATACAATGACTAACATTCACTTGTGCAATTTTAATGTCACTTAAAAAAAACCTGTTATTGATCTTTTGTTTTTATGCGACCTTCATTTCCCAATATATCTCTTCCCCTCCCAGAGAACCATCTCTTCAGGCAAGGAATAAACAGACACAAAAACCAGTCCAGCAAAATTAACGAGTGCCACAACCAAGTCCAACATCCTATGCTGCAGTCTACACTCTGCCTGCAAGGGAGGATGGGCCCTCTTAGCTCAATCTTTCATCGGTGTGTGTGTGCAGTTCTGCAGGTTTGGCTTCCCTGACTGTGCATCAGTTCATGTGCCTCTTTCCAGGCCTCTCTGGACTCTTGACAGTCACTTCCATTCCATTCCATTTCATTCCATTCCATTCCTATGCTGAGTTTTGTTTGGACACTCCTCCATCCATGCATGAAGCAGCTACTGTTTCCAATTCTTTGCAACTTTAATTTGTCAAAATGATAACAACAACATGTTCCTATTCTGACCAACTTCCAGGTGCTACCAAACATCTCCTCTCTGGTGTCTCTCTAAATCTGCAGTTTTTGGATGTGGTGATGGTCCTGTGCCTAGACAGACTAAGTCACGCCTGAACCACATTTCTAGCTTCCACTGGACAAGGCTGTAGAAGAAGGAGCAAGAAGCCATTTATAGGAAGTTGATGGGTAAGGAAGTCAATAATCAATAAGCATTTATTAAGAACTGACTATGTGCCAAACCCTGCACTACACCCTGGAGATACAAAAAGGGGCAAAAGACAGTCCTGGAGTTCAAGGAGCTCACAGTCTAACGGAGGAAACAATAAGAAAGCAGATATGTACAAAGCAAATGGGAAATAACCAACAGAGGGAAAGCATTAAAATTAAGAGGGCAACACTTCTAGGGCTATATCCCAAAGAGATCAAACAAATGGGAAAAGGACCCACATGTACAAAAACATTCATAGCAGCTCTTTCTGTGGTGGCAAAGAATTGGAAATTGAGAGGATGCCCATCAACTGGGGAATGGCTGAGCAAGTTGTGGCATATGAATGTAATGGAATACTATGGTGCTATGAGAAATGATGAACAGGCTGACTTCAGAAAAACCTGGAAAGACTTGTATGGTCTGATGCTGAGTGAAGTGAGCAGAACCAAGAGGACTTTGTACACAATAACAGCCACGTTATTCGATGACTGATATTGTTAAACTGAACCATTCTCAGCATTACAAGGATCTAAGACATCTCCAGAGGCCTCAGGATGGAAAATGCCGTGCACATCCAAAGAAAGAACTATGGAAGTCGAATCACTATCATTTATTTTTACCTTCTGTTGAGTTTTGTTTCATCTTTCTGATGGTTCCTCCTATTGGTTTTAATTTTCACTTACAACTTCACTAATGTGAAAATATGTTTAATGGGTATGTAAATGTAAAGCCTATATCAGCTTGTGTGCCATCTTGGGGAGGGTGGGGGGGGAGGAAGGGGGAGAAAAATTTTCAACTCAAAAGCATATGGAAGTGATTGTTGATAAATCAAAATAAATTAATTTAAAAAAAATTAAGAGGGCAAGTTGGAAAAGGCTTCCTATAGAAGACAGTATTTTGGATGGAACTTGAAGGAAGCCAGGAAATGAGAGAGAGCATTCCAGGCATGAGGTTCAGCCAGAGAAATGGGAGAGATCTGAGAGATCTGAGGTATCAAGGAATTGGACATCACTGTGGATGAATGGAAGTGCTTGGTTTTAAAAAGCAAAGGGAGGGGGCAACTAGGTAGCCCAGTGGATAGAGCACCGGCCCTGGATTCAGGAGGACCTGAGTTCAAATTCAGCCTCAGACACATAACACTTATAGCTGTGTGACCCTGGGCAAGTCACTTAACCCCATTGCCTAGGGCCCCCCCCCCCCAAAAAAAAAAGCAAAGGGAGAAGTGGAAAGTCAATGGGCAATGATCAGATGAGGGAAATTCAGAACAAATCATTAGGTTCATTCAGTAGGTAATACGTTGAATTTGGAGAGAAGAAATTGTGAAGAAACTGAAGGAAATGTGAAGAACAATCTCTAGGCTCAGATACCAGTTCAGACTGTACTTCCTGTTTGAAGACCAGGATCAAGGAAGACTGGGGAAAACCTGTAGAATATCCAAGAAGGAAAAGGTAAGGTAAGAAAAGCAATGTGGAGAAAATGCATAATTGGTATGGGTGGGACAAATGGGTGAAAGAGATCAAGAGCTTCATCAAGCCAAGTGGACAGGAGTGATGATGCGCAGTTGTCAAGTTACTAAGAGGTGAAAACCGGCTATCAAAGTTGTAACCAGCTACTTAAGGCTTCATGAGGTGTAAACCACAAACAATTAAAAAATAAGCCTGAAAATCTCTCCAGAAATCGAGAGTAGAAGAAATTGTAGGATGACCTGCACTGCTATATGCAACATTTTATTTTTCTGTGGTTCGGGACTGTAAGTGTAGCCTGATTACCCCACTAGAGAAAGGGAAGAGACTGGAAGAATGCCGCTTCACACTTAGGGTTACAGAGAAGCAAGGTTTCAACTTTAAAAAAAGGGATCTGTTTGGATAACATGACAAAACTAGAAAATGTTAATGCTGGAGAAGATGCAGGAAAACTGGAATACTAATATGTTGTTGGGGGAGGTTGTGAAATGATCCAACCATTCTGGAGAGCAATTTGGACCTATGACCAAAGGGTTATAAAAATGTGCATAGCCTTTGATCCAGCAATAGCACTTCTAGGGCTGCATCCCAAAGAGGTCACACAAATGGGAAAAGGACCCACATGTACAAAAATATTCATAGCAGCTCTTTTGGTGGTGGCCAAGAACTGGAAATTGAGGGGATGCCCATGAATTGGGGAATGGCTGAACAAGTTGTAGTATATGAATGTAATGGAACACTACTGTGCTATCACAAATAATGAGCAGGTGAGCTTCAGAAAAACCTGGAAAGACTTATATGAACTGATGCTGAGTAAAGTGAGCAGAACCAGGAGAACGCTATACATAGTAACAGCCAAGTTATGTGATAATTGACTTTGATAGACTCATCTCTTCTTAGCAATGCAAGGATCCAAGATAACTCCAAAGGACTCATGATGGAAAATGCTGTCCACATCCACAAAAAGAAGTATGGAGCATGAATGTAGATCAAAGTATATTATTTACTCTCTTTCTTTTTTCTTTTTGTTTCTTCTTTCTCATGGTTTTTCCCACTGGTTCTAATCCTTTACAACATGACTAATGTGAAAATAGGTTCAATATGAAGGTAGAACCTATATCAAATTGCATACTGTCTTGGGATGGTGGGAGAGGAGAGATGGGGAGAAAATCTGGAACTCAAAATATTATAAAAGTGAATGTTGAAAATTAAAAATAAATTAAAAAAAAAAAAGGATCTGTAGTAGAAAAGCTGAGACTCTGAACCTTCTATCAGGATGTCCAAGAATAGAAAAGTATAACACAGAAGAAAAAGAGAAGGAAAATTTCGGTCAGCCCTACGATTAAACCTTAAAAAGAAAAAGAAAAAAGCCCAGACTTCAGGTGCTTCCTGATGAGGAGGGGATTGAATGAACTGAGAAAGATGCTGCTTGTCTTTCAAAGAAAGGCCCACCAGAGCCCCAGATGTGATAATGGAAGAGCTCATCCAGGGAAGGCCGACTCAAGAACCCAAGAGTAGTGACAGCAACTGGTGGTTCCCGTCTCCTATACACTGAAGGAGACATTTGCGGACCTTATGACAACGTGAAAGAGGCCTGCTAGCTTAATGAGAAACGTACCCATAACAAAACAGAGACCCTACTGAGCTTAACAAAACATGAGCCCTAGTCACCTCTGGTGACTCACTCACATAGGCTCACACAGAAGAAACCTAAAAAGTGTTGCCAATGGTTGCGAAGCCTTGGGCAAGAGACTGAAGACCATGGTTGAAACAGGTTGTATTTTTCTCTTTGCTTTAATTTGAGAAGTGAAGAGCTGTCTAGGAAGAAGGCATCTGAGAATGGTACTTCTAGCTAAGCCTTTAAGTACAACAGGGATGCCAGCTACTTGGACGAGAAGGAATACCCCCGTGGAACAATGTTGCTTATGCACAGCCTCCAAACTAGACATCATAGAGACAGCTACAATGAAGGAGGAGGAAGAGTTGAGGTAGCTAGAACTTCACAGGAAGGAAACAGTACTAAAATTCATGGTTTCAAATGTCTGAATAGAAATGACCAACGTTAAGACAAAAAGCAGGAGGAACTAGATGTTCTAATGACCTCCCAGTTACAAATGAGGCTTGGTACAACGAAACATGGTTTTGGGCAGAAAGCCTGTATTCTGAAGAAACAGGCTAAACGAGTGGATGTGGGGTTAGAGTAGCACTGCATTTTAAGAAGGCATACTCATGGAGAAGTCCAGGAAGCAGAAGGAGGAAGCACGTAAGACAGCAGTCATTAGAGGGAAACACAGAAATGATTTGGTCATTAGAGTTTATGACTGACCATCTGGACAAAAAGGAAAGAGAAGAGGCAGTTTGGAAAATAAATCACAAGTCTGGCACAGAGGTATGACTATGATAGTGAAGGGGGGACTTCAATTATACCGATATTTACTTTTCTCTGCCAGAAGCAGAGTAGCTAATAACTTCTTGATTTGCTTTATTGATCATCATTCAGAAAGTGAAGGACTATCAAGAAGAAATTCTATTTTGGATCTGATTCTTACTAACAAGCAGGAACTGGCTGCTGGGTTGGAAATGATAGGAACCTTAGAGGTGTGGGGATGCAGTGACCACTTCATCTTAAAAGTCTGTGACAGAGGCGGGGAAATCTGGATATAGGCTGACCTGCTAGAACTAGATTTTGTAAACAAAACAACACAAACAAAAAACCAGATTTCAAAAGGTTCAGAGGTAGGTAGAATTCTATGGATTAAAATGATTCAGGGGAA